GGGGGCCGGGGGGGGGGCGGGGGCGGGGCCGGCCGGGGACTGAGGGCGTAGCCCCTACGCCTGCCCCTGCCCGCAGGGCGCTGTGCAAAGGCTGCCGCTGCGTGGAGCTCGACTGCTGGGACGGCCCCAACCAGGAGCCGATCATCTACCACGGCTACACATTCACCTCCAAGATCCTCCTCTGCGACGTGCTCAGGGCCATCCGGGACTACGCCTTCAAGGTTGCGCGCGCCCCTGGCGGGTGAGGAGGGCAGCGATACGGGCGGCCCGCCCCTCCTAACCTGCCCTGGGGCCTCCAGGCGTCCCCCTACCCCGTCATCCTGTCCCTGGAGAACCACTGCAGCCTGGAGCAGCAGCGTGTGATGGCGCGACACCTGCGCACCATCCTGGGCCCCATGCTGTTGGACCGGCCGCTGGACGGGGTCACCACCAGTCTGCCTTCCCCTGAGGTTCGCGGTGGGCATGGGGGTACCCAGACGAGACGGCAGGGGGACTGGCTGGGAGGGCAACTGGGTCTTGACGAGCTGCTCCTCCCTTCTTAGCAACTGAAGGGGAAGATCTTGCTGAAGGGGAAGAAGCTGGGGGGGCTCCTGCCCCCTGGCGGGGAGGGTGGCCCTGAAGCCACTGTCGTGTCTGATGAGGATGAGGCTGCTGAGATCGAGGATGAGGCCGTGAGGAGCCGTGTGCAGCGGAAGCCCAGGGTTCGGGGGTCGGGGGGGAGCTGTGGGGGAGGGGGCAGCCCTGGGGCCCTCCCCCATCATGGGATGTTTGCCTTGTCTCAATTCTCTGTGGCTGCCACTCAGACCCTCTGCCCCCCTCTCTCTGTCTGTCTCCCTGTCTCTCTGTGTCTGGGTTTCTGGCTCTCTCAGTGCCCACCTGCCCCAACCTCTGAATCTAACCTGGGCCTCCCCATGGCCCCCAGGAGGACAAGCTCAGGCTAGTGAAGGAGCTCTCCGATATGGTCATTTACTGCAAGAGTGTCCACTTTGGGGGCTTCTCCAGCCCTGGCACCCCAGGGCAGGCTTTCTATGAGATGGTGTCCTTCTCTGAGAACCGCGCCCTCCGACTGCTCCAAGAATCAGGTGAGCCCCGCCCCTGCATTCTCAGGGTGCTGGCCATCCGTCTGACCATTTGGACTGGCCTGGGCCAGGCCTGGCTCCACTACTCGGGAGGTGCACAGAGTTGGCACTCTCTGCTGTTACCAGAGGGGGGCCAGGGGCGGGGGTGGGGGGGTAGTTTGGGCTCACCAGGAGGCCTGTGCTTCTGACCGCCCACACACCCTTTTCAGGAAACAACCTTGTTCGCCACAACGTCAGTCACCTGAGCAGGATCTACCCTGCTGGGTGGAGAACAGACTCTTCCAACTACAGCCCCGTGGAGATGTGGAACGGGGGCTGCCAGATCGGTATGGGCTGGCAGGGGCTGAGGAGGCTGGGGTGAGGGTTTCAGTCCAGAGGGCCAGGGGTCAGGAGCCTTTGGGGACCCAGCTGGGGCCAGACACAGGGACTTGTGGGCTCAGGCGCTGGTACTCAGTTTGGACATATTCCCCCTGCCAGCAAGTCAGGGTCTGAAATCGCCTCATTAGCACAGTTGTCCTTTGAATTCTGGCACCAGAAATGGAATGTGGGCTGGCATGGTGGGTCAGTGACAGTGGCAGGACGGCAGTAGGCATCAGAGTGATGCCGGACCCTGCTTCTGCCATGCCATGTGACCCTAAGGCCTCCATGTACCCTGGGTAGGCTGGGCTCTAGGGCCCCCAAGGCCAGCCAACAGCCTGTGACTGCTCTGTCCTGCCTACAGTGGCCCTGAATTTCCAGACCCCTGGCCCAGAGATGGATGTGTACCAGGGCCGCTTCCAGGACAACGGGGCCTGTGGCTACGTGCTGAAGCCTGCCTTCCTGCGAGACCCGAACTCTACCTTTAACTCACGTGCCCTGGCTCAAGGGCCCTGGTGGACCCGGAAGCGGCTCAGTGTCAGGGTACGGCCAGCCACCACAGGGACAGGAGCCCATGGGCCTCCCTCCCCGCTACCATTCCTGAACCCTCATCTGTCCTTTGCCCCCACTCAGGTCATCTCTGGGCAGCAGCTGCCGAAAGTCAACAAGAATAAGAATTCAATCGTGGACCCCAAGGTGACGGTGGAGATCCACGGTGTGGGCCGGGACGTGGCCAGCTGCCAGACTGCCGTAGTCACCAACAACGGTACTTGCCAGGCCTGGGTGGGGACCCAACCCCTGGAGCTGGCGTCCGCACTGTTGACGTGGTGCTCATGCCGCTAGGTTTCAACCCGTGGTGGGACACGGAGTTTGTGTTTGAGGTGGTTGTGCCTGAGCTCGCCCTCGTGCGCTTCTTGGTGGAGGATTATGACGCATCCTCTAAGAACGACTTCATTGGCCAGAGCACCATCCCCTTGGGCAGCCTCAAGCAAGGTTTGTCGAGGGGAAGGGACAACAAGGTGGAGAAGGCAGGGCCTGTTATCTCTTGGGCCGGGGCCCTTGTCCCTTGAAGCATCCTCACCGAGTGACCAGAACTCTCCGTGTGCTCTTTCCTGTCCATCCCCCTGCCAGGATACCGCCATGTCCACCTCTTGTCAAAGAACGGAGACCAGCACCCATCTGCCACCCTCTTTGTGAAGGTGTCTCTCCAGGACTAGGTTTGGGGGTTCTGATGGGGGCTGCCCCAGGCACACCCGGCCCTCTGTCCCCATGTAGGGACAGGGCTGGTGAGGCTGCTCCCCACCTCTCACTTTGAGCTAGAGGCCCCGCACTGCCTTCAGCTCTAACAGACGTCTGTGCTGCTGCCTCCCTGGGGTCCCAGGAGCTAGCCCAGTCCCTGGAGCTCTCCTCGATTCCGTTAGGAAAAACACTGCAGCCCTCTGCCCTCTGGCCTGGCCCTGGGTTGAGGGTTTTTATAAAAGTTATAAGACTAAGTCCTGTGGTCTCTTTACCTGAATGCCAGAAAGTCCCTATAAAGGGCACCTGTGTGTGTGTACGTGCATGTGGGGGGGGGGAGTGCTGGAGCCCCATCACCTTTCCACGTCCCCCACACTCACACTGTATGAGGGTTGTCTGTCCCCTTGGGCAGGAAGGACCAGTGAGAAACAAACCCCTCCATGGAAGACAGTGGAGAGAGCTCAGTCCTCTGGAATGTCACAGACCACCCCCTCCAGTCCCAGAGGCCCCTTCCCCCCCAGAGCTGGGCCAAATGAGTGACCCAGACTTGAAAGCCCACACACCACACCTTGTGAGGGCCACCAGCTTTTATTGACCGGGGTGGAGGGGTTGACCCGGGAGTCTCCAGCTAGGCTTTGCCAGCGGGGTCTCCCAGGGGGCTCAGGTATGTGTTGGGAAGGTACCCGTGGAGGTCCTGGCCATGTGGGCGGCACCGGTAGGGGCAGGGCCTGGGGTCAGAACAAGCCAAGCTGCTTTTTCTCCTGCTGCTGCCTCCACTTGGCCATGCTATAGAATTCTTCCTTGGATTTCCCAAAGATATTTTGGAAGTCAGAGTCGGAGAGAGAGAACTGGGGGCGGGGGGAGAGGGTACAGGGGCAGGGTGTCAACTGATCCCAGAATCCTGTCCCATTGGCCCAGTGGTGCCATCCCAGGGCTCAGGGCTCTCCTCCCCCACCTCTCTCTGCCCATTATCCCATTCGGAAGACACATCTCCCCGGGCAGCGGGCCCATCGCCCACCATCAGTGGGTCATGCCCCGGGCACCTCCAGCTCAGTTTGAGATGCATCAGTGAGTGACAGGGGGCCTCGGGCACCCACCTCCTTGTGGGCTGGGTCCACGCCCTCTGGCAGGTCCTCGGCAGCCTGATGCATTAGCTGTTCTCGGGGCAGGCTCCCATTGATGGTGGGTCTGGGGCTGCTGTGGCAGCTGCCGGTGCTGGTGCCCCCGGCCTTGGGGCCTAGCTGCAGCTCATTCCCTGAGCCCTCCTGGGAGCCCTTGAGGGCCCACATGGTCAAGGGGCCTGCCCTGCCATTGCTTGGCCCTCTAGAGAGCTGCAAGTTGTTGAGTTCCTGCCGGGAGAGGGGACTCACGCTGGGGATACGGGGCAGAGGCTCCCATGGGGAGGCCACACTGAGCCCACGGCCCTCTTGTCCCCATTGCAAACCCTGCCACCCACCAGGGTCTGGCTCCTTCCTTGCCCATCCTGCCCATCTGGGCCATGCCGACCAAGTCCAGTCCCCGGCGGGAGCCTGGCAGGCCCGATACTCACTGCTGTTATCTTAACTATGGCAGGTTTTGCTCCCAGGCTGCCATCCACCACCTCCTCATAAGGACTGGTTGTTCTGGGGGCAAGAATCAGGACAGGGCAGGATGGAGGGCACCACTGGAACCCAGGGGCGGCGGGCTGAGAACAAGACCCGGGCTCTTCTACCCACACTGGAAGTCCCCAGACAAGGCAATGCCTCCTCCCAGTGTGCCCAGGGCAGGCCCCTCTCCCTGGGGTAGGGTGGGGCTGGGAGTTCAGGCCTCACTCACAGTCCACTTGTAAGGGCCCCAGGTGAGGAACCATCCAGTGAAGGTGGGAGGCTCGTGGCCCTCCTTGATCACCACAGTGGGCGGGGCGGGGCTCCTCCCTGCTGGATGCGTCTTCAGGTACTCCGGGCCCCAGGCCACCGCCTCCTTCTCCCACTCACTGGCAGCTTCCCCGAGCCACAGGAAGATCTGGGCCACAGAGGGGGCCTGGCCTTGGGCGAGTGGAGGGGCTGCCCAGAGCTGCCCACTTCCTTCCCACCCCCATCTATTAAATGGTCTCACAATCCCGCACACATCCCAGCCAGCCAGGCACACCCAGCAGGCTGGCCGCCACACCACCCACGCACCCATAAACGTGGTAGAGGGTCACAGGCACACATGTATACATTCAATCCACAAATATTTATTGAGTTCCTATTGTGTGCCAGGCACTGTTCTAGGCACTTGGGAATTCAACAATGAGAAAACAAAACAGGCAAAAATCCCTGCCCTTGTAGAGCCTTCATTTTATTGGGGGGAGACAGAAAAATAGGTACATAAATTAAGTAAAATATGTACTATATCAGAGAAAAGTAAGGCAGGGAAAGAAGACAAAGTGTGGTGGGTGTGTGTCGGGGGGGTTGGTGAGGATGACTGTAATTTTAAATTAGAACCAGAGAGAGTCTTACTGAGAAGGTGACATTTGAGTAGAGATCTGGGGGAGGTGGAGGGAGCAAGTTGAGTGTTCTAGCCAGAAGAAACAACAGTGCAAGGGCCCTAAGCACACCTGGGCAATTTTGGGGAGCAGCAAGGGGGCCACTGTGGCTAGAGCAGAGCAAGTGGAGGTGTGGGAGCAGAAATTTGCTCCCACAGAGGTGTGGGAGCAAGTCAGCCCAGAGAGTCGGGCCGCCAGGTCATGTGGGCTGTAGTAAGGGCTCTGCTTTTGCTCTGAGATGGGAACACACAAGCCTTATGGCCACATTCAATGTCACAGACACACATGATCACAGCTGTAGACATGCAATCCCCCACTGCCGCAGAGCCACTCACTGTCACCCACAGTCACACATAGCTGCATGTAAACAAGATTGCACTCCATCACACAGCTGTGCTCACTCCTGAAAAACACAGGCAGCCCCCAGACCTGCCTCATAAAGCCTCTCAGACACATAGTGACCCTGCCCGACAGTCACTCAGTCACTCAGGCTGCGGCCAGTCTCCTAGTCTCCTGGTTTCCCCAGTTACAGCCGGTGCGGGACCACACGGCCGCTCCATGGAGGCAAGCACCGTCCCACAAAGGAACCACGTACACTCGTGTGGTCAGTCATTCAGTCTGCAACCACTCGCACGGACACATTAGCCACGGGCACCCAGTCACGTGGAATCACGCCATTGTAAGGCACACAGACGCAAATACAGAACTGCTCACAATCTCACAGCCAGTCTCCTACAGCTTCGCAGTGACACAGGGTGGTCCCTGGTCGCGCAGTGCAGTCACTCACAGCGTTACCGTGTCACCCACAATCTCGACCCCAGCTGCACAGACACGGTCGCCCCCTCCCTTCACACCCCAGCCAGCCGGGGGGGGGGGGCGCCTCACCTCCTGCCAGGTGTCCAGTAACATGATGTCATACTTGTCCAGGTCCTCTTGGCTAAAGAACACCACTTCTGTGAGGACCAGGTGGCCCATCTGGCTGGAGCACTCAGCCGTGGCTGGAAGCTGGAGACGTCCTCGGGAAGCCTGGCCAGGGTGGGCAGCCAGGCAGTGAGGGGTGTAGAGACAGCTGTGCCTCTCAGCAGCCTGGGCTGAGCTAGCCCTCAGCACAGGGCCTCTACCTCCCCCCAACCCCCGGATGGGCAACAGCTTCTCCTGGAGCGGGAGGCCTGCGCCCACCTCTGGGCTCCCCCCAGCCCATAACTCCCTCCGGGGATGCCCAGCTGCTCTCTGGGCCCCAGCGTCCCCGTCTGTCAGTGGGAAAGCCCATTACGTGACCTGTCTAGCCAGCTGTGACACACGCTGCCCCAGGAATTTCCCCAGGAGTGGGCCCTGGGAAGGGGATGGCTGGCTCAGTGGGGCTGGGTGGGGGGGAGTGGTGCTAAGCTGGGGCCCTGCCCTCCCCAGGAAGGAGGGGGTCCTGGTCCTGGCTGGATGCTCAGGGGACTTGTGGGGAGTCCAGTGCATCAACCGGGCCCCACAGACACTCACAGCGGCCCTGACTCAGCAACCTCCTCCCTTGAAGGCCTTAACCCTGCCTTACCTTCTGACACACACCCTTGTCCTTTTACAGGTCCACACATACGTTTATTCACACGTCACATTAGCCGCGCCCCCCCCCAAAGATACACACACGCACACTCGGCACCATGACCCCTGGGGACTGTGGGCTGGGAATGGGGCTTTGCCCTCTTGCCCTCTGCCATTGGGAAGGTCCAGGGAACTGGGCAATGCAGGGAGCATGTTTGGCCAGAAGAGGGCGCGACTATCCTGCTCTCCCTGGCATCTTCCTGATCCCTGTTACCCAGGGCTGGGGAGGGAAGGGTGGGCTGTGCTCCTGGGAAACCTGGAATGGGGAGCCAAGAGACCTCAGTTCTAGTGTGGCCTCTCCAGCTCTCTGTGTGACCCTTAAGTCGTCACCCACACTCTCTGGGTCTCAGTTTCCTCCTCTGTATAAGGAAAACACCCTCTTCCCAGCCCTGTCACCTCTTGTTGCTGGGGTAGGGAGCTCAGCCTCCCAGGGCCTCCCAGAAGTGGGGAGGCCCCTGACCCTCCAGCACCGTTTCCTTGTTCTCCCCAGAGATGGCAGTGACCACCGTCCGCGCCATCTCGCGCTGGTCACCGCTGCAGCCCTGGCAGACAAAGAGCTGGGTCAGGCCCTTAAGGGGGAGGGGTCTTGGCCTCCAGCCCCACCTCCCCCACTCTGGGAGACTGGGCTTAAGTCAGTGGAGGCCTAGGCTGATGGCACACATGAGCCAGGGATCTCCCCTTCCCCACTCCCAGGACTGGGACCCTCTCCTGGTCCAGAGAATGGGATGGGGACCCCAGGCCCGGGGACCATTTGTGGTTTATGTTGAAGATCAGAGAAAACTCTGGCAAACTGGACTAGGCCTCCTCTTTTCCCCAAGAGACTCGGGAAGGGTCATGCTCCTTGCTCGAGGCAGGAAGGAGGGGAGGCAGCCTGGGCCTGGCCTGCCTCTGACCAGTAGACTCCCAGATCTACCTGTCACGTTCAACTCCCCACTGTGGCCTTTCCCCTGCCCCACTCCTGGCCTATCTGAGGTTGGACATGGAAGTCTGCCTGAGTAGAGCCATCCCTCGTGTGGCACATGGCCCTAGGCATGAGTCGAGTGGCCAGGGTTAGAGGTACCTTTCCAAACCAGAGGTAGCGGGTGCTAGCTGTGACCAGCAAGAAAATGTCACTGGAGTTGAGAGCGGAGGCACGGGCCGGCACCTCCACAGTCCTGGTGTTGTAGCTGTCTGTGTCTTGCACATGGAAGAGCCTCGTGGCAGGTGCTGGCTGCCCCTTCCCATTGTGCCCCGTGTGCCCCTACAAGAGGCCTGGGCCTCAGGATGAGGCAAGGGCTCCTGGGGAGCTGCCTCCCTGTCCCAGTGACGGACAAACTGCCCTGGGGCCCAGCAGACTCTTGCTTGAAGCCACCACTATCTTCTAGACCCTCTGAATGTGGAGGGTGAGGATCCCATCAGCCTAGGATAGGGAACCAGGCCCTTTCTTAATGGATCCCTCCCCCAATTCCAAGGAGTCAGGTCATGGTTCCCCCAGGCCTTGAAGACAGAAAATAGTGACCCCAGGCAAGGCCCTACTCCCTTCCAATTTAGCTTCTTCTCCTGTGCTTCTGCTGTGTGGCTGGCTCTGCAGACCAGGCGAAAAGACTCAGGCAGGGGTCACCCTTGGAGCTCCCGCCCAGGTGTCTGACAGCACCGGGACACCAGGGGTAGTAAGCAAGGGGGCCTCCCCCAGCTGAAGTGAAGCCTCGCCCTTATATAAGGGCTATGGGCACATGGAGGAGCCGGTGAGGCTGCAGGAACAGCAGCAAGGTGGGCCCTACCTGGAAGACCACCAGCTGGTCCTGGAGGATGGCGAGGAAGTGAGGGGGCTCGCTACCCATGGTCACGCGTTCCTGCACCAGGGCTCCACGGTACATGAGGTCCAGCTCCTCGGCGTGGCAGTTCAGGATGTTGATCTCACATGTGGTGGCCTGGTGGCCCTGCAGGTGGGGGTGGTAAGGGCCTGGGGCAGCTCTTAGATCCCATTCTCAGATCCTCAGCTCTGGGGCTTGAAGGTGCCTGCCCCTCCCCCTCAGGCCGGCACACCTGCCATAGGTACAGGATGTACCGGACGCGGCTCATCTTCTGGTATGTGTAGAGGACCAGGTAGCAGTTGCCCGCATACAACTGTCCATGATGCTTGGGGTCCACGGGCTGTCTACATAAGTCCTGGATGCACCACACCTGCGGAATGAAGGACCAGTGCACCCAGGTGGCTCCTCACTTGAACCAGTCCGCCCAGCCTGTGCCCAGCCAGTGAGCTCTCCTCAGGCCTCAGGGCAGGCCTCATTCATGCAGGCAAGGGCTCTCCTGGGCTTGCGCAAGGATCTGCAGGTGACCCTTTTCCCCGTGGGCCCCTGGGCCCTACCACACTTGTACTGGTCTGCTGTCAGCCAGGACAGAGTTGGTGTGTGGTGCCTGGGACAAGCAAGCTGTGAGGACTCCAGAAGCTGCCCAGACAGGCCTAAGCCGTGCCACATACCACCCCCTACCCTGCCCCCCACCAACCACAGGCACGTTAGGGGCAGGCAGGTCCTGGCCCAGCTGCTCGCTGCTCAGGCCAGGTCTGCAGAAGCTGGGCAGATGCACAGCCTCTTGGGAAAATTCTCTTTTCTCAAGTGTCACTTAAAAAGACAAAGCCTGTTCAAAGGCTGAAAGGAAAATACTTCCTTACACTTAGTATTGATTTCCTCTTCCTAGTGGGTAGCGAGCATGGGCTCTGGAGCCAGGCTCCAGATCCTAATCAAATCCCAGGTAGGCCCTGTTGTGGGCAGTGAGACCCTTCTGAGCTTTGGCTTTTCCCTTCTGTAAAGTGGGCATAACAACACCCACCTTGACAATGGCAGGAAACAATTCCTGGACAGCTCTCTCTGGGGAAGATGTCCTCCGGAGCAGAGCTACCAGAATCCTGCCTTTTGCAGAAGAGGCTGTTTCTGACCACACGCTCTACCCAGGAGCAGCCCTTATCTGGCAGCCAGGCCTCCTAGCTCAGGGGCTGCCCCTGCCCGCCGGCCTGCTGGGAGGAATCCCCTCTCTGCCTCTGTGCTTGGAGCCTGAGTGGCAAGACCTTTACCCTCCTGTTTTCCTGTCCCCCTCTGTCTCTCCCTGCGTACCCCATCTCTCCTGCTTTTCATCCCATCCCCCCCACTCTGTCTCCTCCCTCCTCTGTCTTCCTCAGTCTCTTCTGTCTCTCTCTGTCCCCATTCCCTGTCTTCCTTTCTCCCTGCTCCCCCAAGCCCTGCCATGTCTCCTTCTATCTTGGTCCCTTCTCACTAACAGTCTCTGTCCATCCATATTAGGGCAAATATAGGAAAAAGCCTTGGAGAAATGGTATTTTCTCTGACCTCCACCTACCTGAAGAACTAGAACCCCAGAAATCCTGTTCCCAGAATCTTACAGCATCCCCACACCAGCCAAGGGCCAGATGGGACCATAGTTTTCGCCCCCATTTACAGATAAAAACTGAGGCCTAATGGACTTAAGGGCTCTACCAGCGATCAGATAACATGTCACAAATGCAGCCCCTACATCTCCCAGAACACTGGTCTGAGACCAGACAGGTGGCCGACTGTGGGACTGTGTGGGACCGTGACTGATTACATGTGATTGTGTAGTATATTGGTGTGGTCGTGTGGGTTGAGTATTGTGTGTGACTGTGATCATGTGTAATGCAGAATTTGTGCAATTACATTTGCAGCTGATGAACTTGGCTGGTTGGGTGCAATTAGAGTGTGTGTATACGTATTTGTATTGTATGTATGGTTGTGTCATATATTTAACAAAAGGGCACAATTATCTTGAAGTGTTACTGTGCTGTGTGCCAAGTGTTATGTGAACACAGCTGCACAGAGTGATTAGGCGTCATGTGTATGAGCCCGCTGTAGGCAGGGTGTGTGTACATGTACACATGCCCATAGGTGTCGCTGTGCGATGTGCAAGTGCGTGTACTTAGGCACTTTAGTAACCTGAAGACAAAGCCTACCCCTGTGTGCCTATCTTCCCCCAGCCAACCAATGCCCCTTACCTCCACCTTCCCGGGGGCGTCGTCCACCAACCTGAGCTGGGCTGCTATGCAGCTTGCCCACATCCAGCCTTACCCGAATCAATTTACCTGAATCAGAGGGGGCATAGGGTGTCAGTGGCATTCTCGCCCCAGCCAACCCCGTCCCTCCCATCACTCAAGAAGCCCCCTCCGACCGCGCCCCCCCCATGCGGGGACGCTTTCTGGGTACCGCCCCTTGTCGGTCCCACTCCATGCCCCCCCAGACCCGGCCCCGCGCCGGTCGCGCCCGCCTCCCCCCAACTCCCCGAGCCTCGTCCCGCCCGCTCTCCCATCCCACCGAAGTTCTGCGTGCCGCCCCGCGCCGGCCACGTCCCGCCCCCGCAGGCCACGCCACGCCCGCTGCCCCTTCCCTCCGAGGCTCTGGGGGCCGCCCCGCCCCGGCCCCGCCCCGGCCCCGCCCCGGCTCGGCCGCGCCCCCTGTCTCGTTCCGCCCGCTCTCCCATCCCACCGAAGTTCTGCGTGCCGCCCCGCGCCGGCCACGTCCCGCCCCCGCAGGCCACGCCACACCCGCTCTCCCCTCCGAGGTTCTGGGTGTCACCCCACTCCGGCCCCGCCCCGCCTCGGTTACGCCCCGCCCCGGCTCGGCCGCGCCCCCCGGCCTCGTCCAGCCGGCTCTCCCATCCCACCGAAGTTCTGCGTGCCGCCCCGCGCCAGCCCCGCCCCACCCGCAGACGCCGCCCCGCGCCGGCCACGTCCCGCCCCCGCAAGCCACGCCCGCTCTCCCCTCCGAGGTTCTGGGTGCCACCCTACATCGGCCCCGCCCCGCCTCGGCCCCGCCCCGCCTCGGCTACGCCCCGGCCCCCGACCTCGTCCCGGCCGCTCTCCCATCCCACCTAAGTTCTGGGTGCCGCCCCGCGCCGGCCCCGCCCCACCCCCAGACCCCGCCCCGCGCCGGCCACGTCCCGCCCCCGCAAGCCACGCCACGCCCGCTCTCCCCTCCGAGGTTCTGGGTGCAGTCCCGTGCCGGCCCCGCCCCCCCAGACCCCGCCCCTCCCGCTCAGTCATCCCGTCGAGGTTCTTGTTCCTTCGCTGGTTCGTAGACCAAGTCTGGAGGAGCTGTTTGAATGCGGCCGACTCGGCGCCGTCGTTCACCACCTCCACGTTGGCGTAGGTCGGATAGCCTTTGGCCTGGATGAAGGCCTGGGGCGGGGGCTCTGTCAGGCGCGCGGCCCGGGGGCCCAATTCTCTGCTCCACCCGCAGGGACCTGAGGCTCAGCTGAGCCCTGAGCAGCATTAATTAACCGAGCTCATGACCCGCTTAAGAAGCTGGCTCCTTCACTACCAACTTCTCTGAGGTCCCTGAGGACAGGCAAGGTCCCCTTAGTCTGAGCCGCGGGAAGGGTGGGCGTGACAACACCCCCAGACCCCAGGCAGAGACCTCCCTGTCTTCCCCCCTCGAAATGGAGGAGGCGCCCAGTACTGTATGCTTCTCAGACCCGCAAGGCAGGCCCACGTTCCCCTTTTACATGCGGTTTCTTGGGTGCTATCTGGTCACCCGCTCCCCCAACCGCTGTCAGGGCTCTCCGGGGAAGGCTGCATGCCCCTGTGGTACTCAAGAGGGGCCCTGTGTTCTCCCTCAGACCCCTGGGCAGAATTGTGTCTCCATCCTCAGACGGGGCATTTTGTCTCCAGGCTTAGACCCCGGGGCAAAGACATGTCCTCCTCTATCAGACAGGCTCCCAGGACAGGATGTATCCATCTCCTGGCCCAAGGGCAGGACTACCTCCCCTTAAGACCCTGGCAACGTGGATGTCTCCTAACTTAGATTTCAGGGTACCGCCATTTCTTCCCTCACACCCCAGGGCAGGGCTCCGCCCGCCCCTTCAAAGGCAGCTCCCTTTGAAACAGGGCCCAACAGCTTCACCAGAGCCCTGCTGAAGGCAGCCTTTTTCTCTTGGAGGCCGGACATGTGTCCCTGCCACACATAGATCTTGAAACCACCCTGGTCCAGGATGTAGTAGTCCTGGGAGCAAGAAGGGGACTGGTCAGGAGGTGGTCCAGACAGGGCTGGGGTTGTGGGTGGGTGGGGATGGATGAGGTGGCTGGGGCCAGGCCTGCCTCACCTCCTCCTGCAGTAGGTCTTGGGTTAGTGGGCAGGTCGCCAACTCCTGGATCACCAAGTCCTCATCCTTCTCACAAACACTGGGGGAGAGGCAACCAGATGTAGGCAGCTCAGCCCCTCTCTGGCCTGGCTCCACTCCAGCTTCCCCTAGTCCCCCCAAAGACAGATGGCATGGAATCTAGGGCCCTGAGTTGCAGTCTTGACATCACTGCGGCCTTGCTGTGGAGCCTGAGGCAGCTCCCTGGCCCTCCATTGCCTCAGTTGCCCTATCTGTACAATGGGTTTCTCAGAAAGGCAGCCATGCAAGAGTACAGACTGGGCCCAAAGCCCTATATGGCTTGCTCCAGAAACCCAGGGGCCTTTCCTGGAGAGCTTTCCAGAGACACTGTGTTATTGCAGTAATGATAGACATGCAGACCCAGGCTATCCCACCCACCCTGCCCACTCCCAAGGTCTGCTCACTGGTAGAGGCGGACACTGGCCTTCTGCAGCTGGCTAATACTCTCGTTGGGCAGGGTGGCATGCAGGTTGCCCACTCTGCAGCCCAGCACAGCTTCCATGACCTGCATGAGGTCAGTGGCTTCGACCTCGTCATCCACCACACCAATCTGGGCATGACCACCACGCTCCCTGTCCTGGAGGCTGCAGGTCAGGGTCAGGCCCTGTAGGGGAGGACCTGGCAGTCAGGGCTTCCCCAGCATGCCTCCCCCATACTGTTCACCGCTCAGATAGTCCATCCCAGATCCTTCCTGTCACAGCTCAGCTCCCAGAGGCTGGAGTCAGAGGGGAGGCGTCGTGGTATGCTGGCCTCCAAGGATACCAGTGCAGAGTCTGGGCTCAGCTTGCACATAATAGGAGCTTCTCAGGTTGTAGTGGAGAACCAGGCCCATTTCTTGGGGTGGCTAGAGGGTGGGCACCTGGAGGATCACCCTTCTCCCTGAACCCTGCATCCCTTACTTCCCAGAGTAGACACTAATCCGCGCCTTCTCAGAAATGCTGGCCTCAGGCCCATTCCACTGGATCATCACCTTGCCCAGGTCCAGCAGGAAGATGTCACCCTTATTAAAGCTGTTCCAAGAGAGCGCCACCTGCCAGAGTCAGGAGGGGCAGGGCAGGAAACAGGGTGTCATACCACTAGGACCCAGGGGGAGGGGTACCACGCCTATCTCCACCTACATGAGCACAGTCCACGTGTGTGCACAATGCTGTGGGCAACTGCGTATCTGTGTGACCAGTGTTGTGGTGTGCAAGCATGCATCTGTGTGACCATATGAGACCTTGAAGGTCACTCTGTGGGGGTAGCTGTGTGCATCTTTGGGGAATGCTGCATTTCACAGGGTGGATGTGATTAGGACACTTTCTGCTCAATGCATGTTGGTAGCTGCAACTTGTATACATGTGTATACAAGTGGGGTGTATGTATCTATCTAGCCACGTGTACAGATACATGCTCATGTGTAGGGAGCACATCCACTGTGAACAAGTGTGTGAGCCCATGAGTGACGATGTAGATGTGCCTGAGTGGGGGGCAGTGTGTTATCAGTGGAAAAAGACAGTTATCATCCAGAGACACTTTGGGGAGCAAGAGGAGGGACTCTAAATAATTATGCCAATATGGCAGGCAGAACCTGGGGCTGCATGTTGTCCCTGTGTGCCCAGGGATGTAGGGTCACTGCCTCTGTGAGGACAGTGGGTGAGCCCGTGTGGGATTGTCACAGGGCTGCTATATGCCCTATAGAGAGTAATGTGCACAACTCAGGTGTCACCATTCACATCGCAGACATCAAACACCCGGATGTTCATGATACCAAATCCCTGTCAGGGGGCAGCAACGTGTTGTGTTCTAACAAGATTGGTATTTCCCATTACTTTCCTGACAGACGGAGTAAGGGGCCCTCTGCAGACTAGAGTGGGCCTGGGGGGACCGATGGGAGACAGTGTGTGTGCCTACGGGTGATAGGGATGATGTGTATGAAGAGTGTGGGGCTGTGCAGCCCCCACCCCACATCGTGCTACTTCCCACTGTGTGGCCTACGGGGACCATCCGGGTGCACCATTTTGTCCTCCTCACCTCCCCAAGTTCTTCCTATGCCATGGGGTGGATGCAAAAACAGGTGAGAGGAGACGTGGTGGGGTGGGGCTAGGAGCCTGGCTCCGCCTCTTCTCTCCTCATCCCAGGTAGGCCATCTGGGAGTGCTGACAGCCCATGGTGCCCCCTGCCCAGCCTCCACCCTCCACACTTCCCGATACTGCAGTCCCCACAGTCCGACCTGAGCCCGGCGATGGAGCGGCATCCCCAGCAGCCCTCACCTCGGTGGCTGATGCATGCTTCCTCCCTTGGATGCGCAGCAGTCGCTGGATGTTGTATATGTTGGTCTCCACATGCCTGAGGGCAGAGGCCAGGCCTCCTTTCCTATAGCTGAGGAGGTAATGGGCTCTCCTGGAAGACCACACGTTGCTGTGTGCAGGCGTGAGCGCAGACGTGCGCACACATGTGGGGAGACGCATGAGTCTGTGTACGAGTTGGGGCATATGGGGATCTGTGCGAGCAAGTGCAGACGTGAGTGCATGGCAGCTGGGCAACAGCATACACGTGTGCACGCAAACACGTATATACGTAGGTGTGCCCGCCTACTTGGTGGCCCATCCTACAGCAGTGGTGTGTTTTCTACGTGTGTGTGTATAAATACGCTCCTGTCTATACTATATGCATGTGTGAGGTTTAACTGTATGAAACAGCAATGATCAAATATTGGCATTTTCCTATGGTTTAACCTAATATATTGCAATTGTTAATTTAATCTATAGTTGAAGCAATTTACAGCCAAAGACATATTTCCACTGGGCACAGTAACATAAAGGCAAACTCAAAACAACATTGGTACCTACTCCTGGGTATATACCCAAGAGAAGTGAAAAACACGTCCGCACAAAAGCTTGTAGATAAGATGGATGTTAACTAAACTTAGGGTTGTGATCTGGTCACAATACTTGTAAGTCACACCATCATGTTGTATCCCTCAAACCGTACAGTGATGTATGTCAGTTATCTCAATAAAACTAGAAAACAAAAAAACCCACCCCAAAACATGTGTACAAATGTTCATAACAGCATTATCCATAACAGCCTCAAAGTGAAAGCAATTCAAATATCCCGTAAGTGATAAATACATAAATAAAATGTGTTCTATCCCCACATCATGTGCTGTATAATTCCATTTATAAAAATGTCCAGAATAGGCAAATCTATACAGACCGAGGAAAGAAAATGTTGGGGGGAAATGGCGAGCATTGTGAAGGGTATGGGGCTTCTTTTTGGGGTGACGGAGGTGTTCTAAAACTGCGGTCATGGTTGCACAAGTCTGTGGCTAGACTAGAGATCACTGAATTTATACTCTAAATGGGCCGGTTGTATGGTATGAGATTTGTTAACTCAGGAGAGATGTCTCCCCCTACCCCAATACCCTCACGAGAAGAGAGTCACCCAGGCCTCCCAGCTCCCCCCGCCGGGCAGACTTCCACATGCTCACATGGAGGACAATGTAGCAGTGTTCCTCGAAGGAGTTCCCATAAGCCCTCGTGGGGACTGGCACCATCCTTAGGTTCTGGGAGAGGAGGTGCCTCTGACAACTCAGCAGGACCACCTGCCCACCCAAGACCTTCTGGGGTGGGGAGGAGGGAGGGAGGGAGCTCTGAGTTGGTGGGGGGAGGGAGAAGCCTAGTCTCAGAGATTGATACTCTTTGTCACCAACCCTGCTGTCTGGTTGTACCCCTCACCTCAATGATCCATTTGTGGAGGTCCCTGTGGCTCTCAGTGGCTGGGAGGCCCTTGCCAATGTCCATCCTAGGCCAGGTGGGAATGAGGGAGGAAACAACAAACAAGAGCCAGAGTTCTCAGGCCCCGGCCACCTGTGCTCTGGGCTCCAAGCAAGAACTCTCCCCAGCTGCAGCTCTCCAAAGCACTGTCATCATAGAATATGCCTAGAATATGCCTTTCACTAGGAGGGCTCTATACATACACAGATGCTAGCAAACCAGGCCAGGTACTGCAGACGTTGGCACAGAGGCTTTGCAAACAGGGACCTGGTTTGTTGTCTGTGGTTGTGGTTTTTTTGGTTTTTTTTTTTTAAAGATTTTATTTATTTATTTGAGAGAGAGAGAATGAGGAGAGCACAAGAGGGAAGAGGGTCAGAGGGAGAAGCAGACTCCCTGCTGAGCAGGGAGCCCGATGTGGTACTCGATCCCGGGACTCCAGGATCATGACCTGAGCCGAAGGCAGTTGCTTAACCAACTGAGCCACCCAGGCACCCTGTGGTTGTGTTCTTGAAACAGGGCCCGGCTCTGTGGGCAGGGATGGGTTTTGAACATAGGGACCTCTGCAAACAGGGAGTTAGAAACAGGCTATGCAGACAAAGATCTGCAGCCAGGGATGGCCACTGGAGACAGTGACAGGTTTTGCACAGGCAAAGGTTCTGCTAGTAAAAGAACAGATTTGGCAGCCAGGGAAAGGCTCTGCAAACAGGCTCTTGAAATGAGACAGAGACACCACAGAGGAAGCAGGGTCTGCTGATAGGGATAGGGACAGGTACTATAAACAAAGCTTTGCAAACAAGAACAGTGTCTTTAGGCAGAAAGAGGTGTCCCAGACAAGGACACAGACAAACTCCGGAGACAGCTTCTGCGTAAAAGCAAATCTAATACACAGGGAAATAGGGACAGACCATTTAAAAAGACAGGTTCTGGGGGTGCTGGGTGGCTCAGTCGGTTAACCGTCTGCCTTCGGCTCAGGTCATGATCTCAGGATCAGGGATCAAGCCCCACATCCAGCTCCCCTGCTCAGCAGGGAGGCTGCTTGTCCCTCTTCCCCCTGCTCCCCCTCTCTCTTTCTCTCAAATAAATAACATCTTAAAAAAAAAGACAAGTTCTGAAAAAAAGACCCTGAAAGGAGCCTCTAGACACAGGCTCGGAGAGAAACAGACAAGAGGAAGTTTCTGCAAACTCAGGACAGACTCTGCACCCAAGCATGGTCTCTGAAGACTGTGACAAGAGTCTGGAGCAAGCAACAGGCTTAGCTAACCTGAGAGGGCTGGGTGCATCAAGCATAGGCACTCTTAAATTCTTGAAACAGAGCTGAACTCTTAATACAAACAGGCCCTGTGAACAGCCACAGGCTCTGCAAACAGTGACTTCGTTCCCTTAGCTCCTGCAGTGCCCTGTGGTTTTGAGCGTGCATAGGAGAGCAGCATGGAATGCGAGGTATCCAAGGTAGAGGTATCGGGGAAGGAAGGGGCTCTCGATCTTGTTACATCACAGATGACTCTCAGCTCCCCCAGGCTTCCCCGTAACACACCTTCAGAAACCTCTGTGGGAGTTTTGGTCCTTCCTTCGTCCGTGGAAGTTCTTTCTTCATCTAACCTAAGTCCCACCTGCTGCAACTTTTGCTTCTTGCTGCTGCTTTGCCCAATAGACCCAGAAGTCACTTCTCTCTGAACTTCTCTTTCCTAGTGACCCGAGCATGGTGTGAGCTCCTCTCCCCTCCCCACTCCCCTCCAGTGGTAGGAACCACCGGGGCTCGCTGACCCTGCCTGAGCAGGGCAGACTAGGGAGGAGGAGAGTTAGAGAGTTAGAGAATATGAGGCATACTGTGACTCGTGCACCTTTGTCCAGGGCCCCTGAGGGCCTGGCTCAGGCCCTGGTGAGCTCATAGGTCACCGTGGGAAATTCCCCACTCTCTCAAAGAGGGCCCAGGTGGCTTCTGGAAGCAGGGAGGAGGGAGCTGCCCAGAGCAGGGTGGGCAGAGGGGTGGTCCTGCCCAGGTTAGAGCCACCAGCTAAGGCTCTGGAGAGCACGGATGCTGGAGGTCCGGTGTCCCCCCCTAGAGCAGAGGGCTCCCAAGGCCAGCGGCTTATCTTCGTGTTTGCCGCCAGCTCCCAGCCGGGCCACCGCCAGCAGGGACTCAGTGACAGCCGCTGAATGAATGAAACCTGCTGCCTGCTGAGTGAGGGTGGATGGACAGCGGGGCCACCGTGCGCTCTCACTGCGCCCAGAACTGCGGTTACAGGCTCTGCCTGTCGCTGTGACAGTGACATGGGGGACAGGCAGACACGGGATCGTGTAAAGCTGGTCCCAAGCAACAGAAAACACGCGATGGCACCGAGTGACAGGCATAGTGACATTCAGAGGTGATGGACAGAAGCAGTGTCTCAGTTGGCCTCAGTTCTAGCCACAGACCGTCCAGTGGGACTCCTCTGCCAGGACATACTGGCCCCAACACCCTTTCCCCATGTCCAGGCCTCAGCCCCACTACTCCCTGTCACAGAGAGGGGGTGACTCCAGGAGGTCTGGGTCCACCTGTGCCCAGTCGGACTTACTGCCAGTATGTGACTGTGGTTAACAGAGTTAATAGGTCCCTGTGTGTGAAGGGCGCCTGTGTCCCAGGACAGGTATTAGTCCTTGTGTGGGTCTGACCTTGTGCATGGGAGAACACTCTGTTCCTTTATACGGTGGTGTGTGTGTGTGTGTGTTTGCCCCCGCCTGTGCATGCCTGTTTCCCTGACTCCTTTTGTCCCCATGCTCAGCAAAATCCCATGTCCTCACTTCTTACTTCCTCGCTGCAGATTCTACCTGCCCCACTCCCGTGCGCTCTGCTTGGCCTTTGTTCCGGACCTCCCTGGAAATGGCTCTTTCCTAGTCCTCACTGCCCACTCTTGCCACAGCGGATGCATGGTTGTCTGTCCTCACCTCACCCTCCCTCTTACCACCCAGGGACCCCACTGGCCACCCCTTCCTCTGGAAACAGCTCACAGCCCAAGTGTTTTCCCCACCTCACTGGCGACTCTGCCCTCTCCTTTGGGGCCTTCAAATGTCAGTGGGCACACAACTCAGGCCTTAGCTCCTGTCTCTTGTCTGTTTTCTTCCAAGTTCCAGTCCCCAGCCTGTAAATGCCAGGGGAACACTAGTGTCTCCTCCAACACGGACTCCCACTCCTTCCGAACCCCCACCCCCTGCCCACCCTTCATCCTTCATCTGTCTGGTCACATGTCCCCTGGTGCATCTGACCTCATGCTTGACATCCAGGTCAGGCCCCTCAGAGACCTCCTCTGAGGCCAAGAAATGGCATGAACATCCAACTGGTAGCTCAGGCCCCACACCTGAGGGCCATCCCGGGTTCCTCTCCTTCCCTCTAATGCACAGGGTGGCCACTAGCCAGTCTGGTTCATCCAGGATCCTGAACTTGGCTAGGCCTCTCTGCTCTGCCCCAGCAGCCAGCCTCTCACCAGTTCAGCCTGAACCGCCCTCTGTGTCTCCTGGTCTCTTCGACCCCTATGTCCATCCTCCAACAGTAGCCAAAGGGATCTCTTAACCACAAAGAGATCACACTATTCCCCTGCTTTAAAGCTTCCAGTGGCTTCCCTAAAATAAAGCCCCAAATTGCCTGTCCCTCTGCTGCATCTCCATTCACTCTCCCCATTCCTCATTGTGTTCTAGCTACAAATTTCTCATTGTCCCTTAAGACACCAACCTCATTCTAGTCTCTGGACCTTTGTACTTGCTGTTACCTCCGCCAGAAGCCTCTCCCCTAAATCCTCCCATGGTTCCTTTTCTGCATTCTGGCCTCAACCCAGATGACACCTCCCAGAGGGAACTTCCCTGACCATGGTAGATAAGCAGGGTTCTTCCCAGCCACCCACCACTTTCTCATCCTCCTCGTGCTTCCAGAAGCAGATAACCTTACTCATTTGGGTCCTGGCTCGGTGTCTGTGTCCCCAGCTGCGAGGTGAGGGCCTGGTGGGCGGAGCCTTCGCTCACTGCTGTACCTTGCGTCTAGAATGGTGCCTGGCATATGACGGCTGCTTAAGAATTATCTGTTGATGTGCTCCTGTGGTCGGTGCCCTGATCACCTGGACCCTTTCTGGGCCCCTTCCTGACGCGGAGGCCCGGAGGTGAGCTTTCCTCAGAGTCAGGCTCCAGCCCCAGCTGAAGTGCCGCCTGGCTGCGTGACTCAGGACACATTTCTCAGGCTTCTTCTGAGCTGACATGTCCTCCTGTGAGAAGGCAGGGGAGGTTGCATCTTGTGAGCGGGACACCCCACCTGGTGCAACCCAGCCTCCGCAGCGTAGTGCAGGGCACAAGGACCTCTCCAACGTCCCTCCCCAGAAATCTCCGGGTCTCTGGAATCCAGAAGATTCTGGATGGGCTCAACTACTCCCCTCCAGAATGGCGGGCACCATCTTGCACCTGTGATCCCAGGCCCAAGAGAGATGGTAGTGGGCCCCAGGTTCGGGGGGGGGGGTGCGGCGCAGATAAGCAGCACTGCTTTGTGTCTGGTGTGGACAATCTCCAGCTCATGGGATCACATCCATGACACAGAGAGAGGAAACTGAGACCCAGGGTAGTGCTCACAGGCAACTAGGGTCTTACAAGGACCAGGGGATGCTCAGCCTCTCCCTTCCTCCTCCCCCAGAGGAAAAAGGGAGCTCCGCCACCTGCTCCTCCTGCTCAGCCAGCACTGCCCTGGCTGTGGGACCCACTCGTCCCACTGACCCTTCCCGCCCTGGGGGGCCCTGGGGCCCACCCACCCTCCCCTGGCAGGTTCTCAGGCTCTCTGTCGCTACTTTGTTCCTTCCGGGTTTATCTCGCAAGGCCCAGCCCGCTCCGCGTCAAAGTTGACAAAGACGTGGGTGTGGCCCTGAGTGGGCGGGGCAGACGCTGGGAATCAGCCCCGCCCCTTCAGGCCCCGCCCCCAAGTGCCTAAACCCGGGTTCTCACGTGGCTGTCCCAGCTCTCTTCAGAGTCCCTCCCAGACAGGTGCGACACGCCGCCCCTCGCGGGGACCAGGCCCT